ACACAGTGGTCGATAGTGACACTGGTTGACACACCAACGTACTGCCATACTCGTCCACACGCACATATAAACACATGCACACACTCAAAATCACATGGAGCAAAGTTAACGATGAAAAAGAACAGTCATCAGTACTGCAGGTTGAGTTTATCCTCAAGACTCAGACGATTTCAAACGTGAAAGTGTATGCAAGAGATGAGGTGAGCCCAGAGTCGCTGCAGGTGCGGAAAGCATGCCGTGCTGCCAGCGTGACAGGTATGATTGTGATGCTGACACCGGTGTAAGGTCACATGAAGCCGTCTGGCAGGCTCGCTCTCCACAGACACTCATACCGATAAAGGCAACGCCAGTGTTGTACTAAGGTAGGCACCGAAAAAAAGTACACAGCAGCTGTAATTCACGTTTAAGACACCACATACGAGTAATATTACAAGCGAGTAAATTTACCTCCATTTCTGAATGTGTGCACGCTCTTGAAATAAACGAATATTGCGAATTACTGAAATGGTTCCTAAACTTACAGAAGAAGTTGTCTTCTTGAAAGTGTCAGGTTTGGCTGAGACCGCGATGAGTTAAAATGGATGGATGAAGATAAACAAATAAGTGCAGAGTCATATTACTGGAAGCAGTTAGGTGTACTTGAAGTCAAAAAAGAGTAGAAGGGATATCTGGATTGGATTTCATCTGCTGAAATAGACCACGTGTTCTCATTGCAGCAGCAAGCTGTGCCAACAATGTATTTCTCTTTGTAATGCGTAGAAATTAATCCGCAAATATACCTTCCGCATATCAGTGCCAAAACTGCTTTCAGACTAGTGCTGTGCATTTTCAGGGCACCGTGTTGGTATTTGCATGGAAAAATCCGTGGCCAAAGATCAACAGCTCGATTCCACTATTATGACAATTTGATCGAACCTCACAAAAAGGCCACTGTACATAAAAAGCTGAATGGATGGTGAGGAGATTCGAGTTAGGGTTTAACCTGAAGGATGGAGCTGGATTTGACTGGATTTGTCCTTAAATAAATACCTTTGGTATTGCCAAAATCACGGTCACTTATGATCGTGAACTAAGGACACGATACGTTCAATGCCGATTTGGATGAACGCTTCCGTAAGGATGATTTACGTGTAGAATGGGCTTGAAGTGGAATATCTGTACATTCGTAGCAATTCAATCCAAATCAGTTCACTCAAACTGAATATGGCATTTAGAAGCCCACCTCCCTCTACAGCACACAGTGCCACTAATTATTATCGGACCCAGCATCTTCTCCGTAAATCTAAAAGTTAGTGCCGAGTGTGTCAACAACTTATGACCGTCCAAGCGGAACAGTGATAATCCTCCAAAAGGCCAGTGGGAAGTAAATCAACTTCAGAAACTCGATTTTTAATCGCTTAACGTAAATTTAAAGACCGAAGCAAAAAGCTACAGTTCGCCCTCCTCTTTAAAGCTGCCAGAAAGCACCGTTAGGCAGAGGTCCAAAGACGTACCGACAAATTTGCTGTTTAATGCGAAACATGGGTAAGGGCGCGACCCATTAGTCAATAGCTTTGGTCATTAATACTCACTGAATACAGAAAGCAATGCGAATTACCAGGTTCGGGCAGGTTGAGTTCAAAGATGGCCTCTCTCTCGGTGAGGTGGATGCGATGGAATTGCCCCAAGCTCTCATCGGAGAAGCGATTACACTTGAGTTTGGAGAAGAGCTGCACCTCGGGTCGGAGCCTAGTACACCGCAGTTCCAGCCGTCCGGGTTCCACGTGGTGACCAGAGGGCGTGAGTCTACCTGGGGGTAGGCTGATAACTCCTGAAGGGTGAGCAAACTCCAGTCCATAGTGGCGGGTGTGGAGCCACGAAGGACCCCAGTTCATGTCATCGCAGGTAGGATAGGGTTCGAAACACACATCACCCTCAGCGAAAACCAATTTGTACTCACATGCGGCTCGGAAGGTCCCATTTTTTGCCATTACAGGATTGCTCAAATCCTTTAAAATGGAAATTATTCGTGCTGACTATCTCTGTAATTTATCAAATTTGAACACACCTCGAGTTCCCCCTCTCCCGTTGTGCAAAAGTAAAATACCAAATGGGGCTTGATTTCCATCAAAACTAGACAGCAATGTAGCTTGATAAGATTTTGACTTCGTGAATTGGGAAAGGTTATTCCTTGATCGACTTCAGCAAGACTTCTGTAAACCTGTTTTGAAAGCGTATCTTATGTAAGTCAGCTTTTAAGTGACTCAGCGATCGTGCTGAACGATCCCCAAAATTCAGCTCCCGTCAAGAAGGTAAATGCGCAGTCTTAGATAACTCATCTAGCGTCTGTATCCAACGGTCATCCCGCCGCATGAATGACTGCTTGATCTGACTGCCCTCTTGTGGTTCATTAACTCCCGTGATATGTTAGTTTTGGCTAGCGCTGCCTCACACAAACCCTCCTAGCTGTTTAGTGACCCTCCCAAGGTGTTGACTTTGGCCTGGCTTAAAATGGTGTCCAAAAACTCGAATGGAGTGTTGCAACTTTCGAGGGAATAAAATATGCATGGCCTAGGAGGAACTAAACTTGGTTTGTGCTTCATTGATAACAAGGATCGGAAAAGGCCTACCATGCAATGGCAGTTCTCAAAAAGGGCCAGCACACTACTACTCAACTCTTAGGGTGTCTATGGTTCCACCATAACGCCGAATAGCATTAGATTCTGGTTTACCAAATCCAATGAGCGGCGGAGGGAGAGGATGCCGTGGATGCACTGCTTAACACGCCCGTCGCCGACAATAATGACAAAACTACTAGGTATCAATCACATGAAAGTCAAATTCCACGCCTAAACAAGGCCTTGGGCTGCCAATTTCTCATCGAAAGGTACACGTGAGCTAACTTGAGAGTTGAACTTTATCTGCTACATTCAGCTGAATTTTTTTACCACAACAAAAAGCTCCCATCGGGTCATCAGCCTTCTTGGAGAGCGCGGAGCGACAACTGCCTAACCACAGAATTCGAAGGAAGGGAGGAATCACACCCAAAAGCTCTGGATTCCCTCAGAAGACATTTGCCTATAGGATAAGAAAGGGGACAATCACAAGAATGGGGCTCCAAATAAAAGTTTGCTGTTGAGAATCGCAAAGCTGGGGGAAAAGCGACATCGCCGTCGACAGAGGAGGGAGAGGCTAATTCAATTACGACACGAGTGTTGCATAAGTCTCCATGATGTGTGCAAGACATCACTGCACTCCTCAAGCATGATTTGATAATTATGGACGAAGAAGGAAAGGGTGCTTCGTTCCA